AAAACAGTATGGAGGTTCCTCACCAAGTTAAAAATAGAACTACCCTAAGACACAGCAATTACACTACCATGTATTTACCCAAAGGAAAGAAAAATACTGATTCAAAGGGATACATGCACCCGATGTTTACAGCAGCATTATCAACAATAGCCAATTTATGGAAAGAGCCCAAATGTCCATCAGTTGATGAATGGATAAAGATGTGGTGTACAGGGGCGCCTGGGTGGCTCAGTCGTTAAGCATCTGCCTTCGGCTCAGGTCATGATCCCAGGGTCCTGGGATCGAGCCCCGTGTCAGGCTCCCTGCTCCGTGGGAAGCCTGCTTCTCCCTCTCCCACTCCCCCTGCTTGTGTTCCCTCTCTCGCTGTGTCTCTCTCTGTCAAATAAATAAAAAATCCTTAAAAAAAAAATGTGGTGTATATATATACACAATGGAATATTAGCCATCAAAAAGAATGAAATCTTGCCATTGGCAATGACATGGATGGAGCTACAGACTATTAGAATAAGCGAAATAAGTCAGTCAGATAAAGACAAACACCGTATGATATCATTCATATGTGGAATTTAGGAAACAAGACAAATGAATATAGGCGGGAATAAAAGAGAGACAAACCAAGAAACAGACCAACTATAGAGAACAAACTGATGGTTATTAGAGGGGAGGTGGGATGGGTTAAACAGGTGATGGCTATAAAGAGGGCACTTGTGATGAGCATCGGGTACTGTATGTGATGAATCACTAAATCCTACACCTGAAATTAATACTGCACTTTATGTTAACTAGATGGAATTTAAATAAAAACTTGGGGGACAAAAACACATTTATAGCTTAAAGAAAATAACAAAAAAAAAAAAAAAAAGTAAGATTCATATTTGACTCCAATAAATCTGGAAGAATCATCTTCATAAGGGCCTAGAATGAATTAAGATCTAAAGCTCCCACTCTAAGAATACTGGCTAGATCCTGAACTTTACATTACAGATCAGTGTTTCTTAGTGTCATCTATGGAGCACCTACATTAGATTCATTTGGGGTGTTCCTCAAAACTGCGAGTTCCCTGACTCCATTCTAACCATATTATCCAATTTCACTCTCTGAGGGTGAGGCATAGAAATCTCCCTTAAAACAAAAACAAGAACAGAACAAGTTTACCTGGTGATTCTTAGGCACATTAAAATTTGAAAACTACCATTGTTTGGTCTTTAGACCCTTGGCCCCCAGCTATTTGTTGCAAGGAAGAATTCCTCTATTCAGAGTTTATAATAAAAACTACATCAAAGTTAAGGTAAATGTAACCTTTAGTTGAACAAATGTTATTACTATACTTAATGTAGCCATTTTCTAAAAAAAGAAACACGAGCCATGTAAATTCTTCTTGTCACTAAGAGTAACAAGTAGAACTGGAATTGGGCCCAAAAAAGGTAAAAGGATGTAAATAAATAAACACCAAGTAAAAATAAAAATTCACTATCTGGCTTTCCATCATGGGAACACAATCGTGCTTCAAAATGACTATATAAGGAAAAATGACTCTAAGAGGCTTAAAAACAACAATTCCTTCATGAACCTCCACAGAGTTATTCATGACCCAGTATATGAATATCCTGGGCCTTCAAAGATTTTTCACTATACATTATCATTTTTCGTTTATGTGGTACCTTTGCATTAAGGTGCTAAAAGTACTTTACATACAAGCCTTTAAACTGTGTGTTTCTATTATCTTATACTAGAGAATTACTTTCTAAGTCAAATTCACTGCCTAAACATTACATGTTCTAGACTTGAATTTTTTTCCACCATATCTCAAAATACCAGCTCTTGGTGTTATAATTAGTCTGTAAGAAATTATGCTGCTTAGACTATACAAAATTACTGTAAAATGAAACAGCTTAAATTTTCTATTTTTAAGCTTCCAGTTCATGATATTAAAGTATTTTATGGTCTGAACAATACCATTTCTTTATATACTCCTAAAAATAGTCATATTAGAGATATAGGTTAGATGCTTAACAACATGTAACTAGAAAGAAAAATACATAGTAATTTAAACAGCTCCTAAAACTTAATCCAGTTTTAATTTAAATACAGAAATCAAAGACTACTACTTAGTGTAATTCAGACAAGGGTGTATCTTAGTAACTAAATAATAAATCCTAGAAAAATATAATTGAAATATAAAAACAAAGACATAAATAGTGCTTGGCATTTTCTAAAAGCAGGTACATTTTTATTTCAAACCTAAACCAGTCTGCAGGCCTAGTATGATTGTATAGAATTTATCCTCAGATAACAGGGTAGCATAGTTTATGACAACAATCTACCTAAAAAGTCATTAAACTGTTTTTTCTCTTGGGAGTGACATGCATTATCAGCAGAGATTAATCTGATGAGTCTTTAGGTGAGCTCCATTTTTAAAAATGCAATAACAGAGGGCTTTGTTGTCATCTGATAAAAATCAATTAGAGGAGGTAAGGCCACAAGGAAAACTAACATCACTCACTACCCACCCCGGCAGCTGAAATGATTTGTCTTCCAAGCCTGGATGATCAGGAGCTATAGTTATATTGCAGGGAAATTAATTTAGTTTCTATATTCTGAACTCAACTTTCTTTGTTCTGGAGGATCTAAATACAAATTACTTTTAATCAAGGTTGATATGATATTAATACCAAGGAGGATCTTCGAAGAATCATTTTTTAAATTGACTTTAGCATCTTTCACCTGTGCTTGGGGTGCAACTATAGGAACGTAACTTATATCATCCTTACTTTCTGGATTCTTTGTCCACAACAAGGCACTGTACTGAATGGCGAAGACAATAGATTCCACCAAACACTGCACACATCCTAGGAAGAGAATAGAAAGCGTGAATTAGGATTCTTGAGTTGAAAATTAAGGTAGCATTATCTTCTTTGAAATATCTTCCATTTAATAAGTGATCTTACAGAAAAAGAATTTTGACAACTTATTATTTTCTCTGTCATGGTATTAAGAATCCCTCAGAAGTAAGATTAGTAATATTTTGATGCAGCAAGAGGTACTAGTACTAATAATACAATGTGCAAGCCTAGAATTACGATCAAGCCAAAAGTATCCCCAAAGCTCAGCTATTCCCCCAAACCACCTACTAACTACAAATAGCCTCAAGAGGTAATGTCTGAGACCCCCAACAGAAATGACCCCACAGGGGAGCCTGGGTGGCTTAGTTGGTTAAGCATCTGACTCTTGATTTTGGCTCACATCATGATCTCATGGTTGGGGACTGAACGGAGTCAGGCTCTGTGCTCAGCAGGGAGTATGCTTAAGATTCTCTCTCCTCTCCCTCTGCCCCTCCCCCTCATGCGAGCTCACTCTGTGTCTCTCTCTCTAAAATTCAAAAAAAAAAGTGGCCACAGAGAAGTCTTAAGGAGGAAACAAAGCAGGGAAGACTAGGAGACCCCTGGAGATTTTGCTTACCTTAAAAGTAAACAAAAACTACACTGGGAACTGAAAACTAGAGCAGTAAGCACATGAGTTAATGCTGCAGAAGTTCTAAGGAGTTTGCCTATCTCATGAAACTAAGGGCTTGGGTTTTAATGCTTACATAGGGACAGGAGAGGCTTTAGGATCCAAGTAAGGCAGGGAGTAGAAAATGAGATATTCTCTCATAATGTCTGGATCCTTAAAGGACTACACTTCAGTGAAAACCCACTTAACCACAAAAGGGAGAAAAGAAAAATTGTTTTATCCAAAGCCCTGGGTGGAGAAGATTATACCTCTGTATTTATAACCAGTGGTCTGTCCTCACACAGGTCGGGGGTTTGCAATTATACTACATGATCCAAGAAACCCTTAACCAATAAAACACCATGAAAGAAAAGTGGCTCTAGGTCAGTAGTACCTCTGGAGACTTGGTGGAAGCAACTGCTAAAACTTTGTGGAGCGATATGAAGCCACATGAAAGAGCCACAGACAGAATCCCCTTATATGTTTATAATCTAAAATTATACATGAAGAAAAATACCTTAGCCTGACTGAGGATTAACAGACACAACAAATGGGGTGGGGCAGCTGAAGTATGGACAGTCTTGTGGGAACTGCATCCTCTAACTGCACAGTTGGCTTAACCTCTCAACATTGTACAATGGAATACTATAAGCAATTTAAATGAATGAACTCCATTCCCATCTATCAACATGGATAAATGGCAAAAACATAAAAATTGAGAGATAATAGCAAATTAGGGAAGAATATATTCAGTGATGTCATTTATAAAAAGTTTCAAAACTTCATATGCAAATATGTAGTAAAAGTGCAGAAACATTTAAGGGCATTATAAACACCAAATTCAGGATAGTAGTTATCTCTGGGAAGAGAGGGAGTAAAAGTTACAATGGAAGTTTCAGTTGTTCAGTTTCTTAAAAAAATATATTGAGAGCAAATATGGCAAAATGTTAAGATTTGACAAAACTGTGAATGGCTACATGGTGACCTTTATATTATTCTATGTACTTCTTGGAGCATTCTTGAAATATTTCATAACCAGATTATAATGAGAAATATAAATAGAGATAAGTGACATTCACCAAGTATGGCATAATACTATTATCTTTCTATGTTTAATTCATTTTACTGAACATGACTAAGCTAGTTAGGATAGGTGAGGTTATAATTCATTCTGGTATAGGATGACATAGATCAGGGTTTTTTTTTTCCACTGAGAAATTTAGAATATAAGAAATGGCACATCAGAGCATGCAAGCAAAATTTCATGTGCTTAAAAACCCTTAGACTGCAAGTTTTACCCAGGGTACCTGCTACAAAATATTCTCCCTTCTTGCTAATCTTGTTCACTAGTCACATACCAAGTTACAGAATATTTATTGTCTGGTATACCTGGTACTATTTGAGACACTGCACTCAACAGATCCCACAGAGGGTTAGAAAAAAACCATCTATTAGACTATTTAGATACATTTCCTAGGTGGTATTCTAACCCCTGTTGTTGGTAGGGGAGTACCAATTTAGTGAAATTGATGTGACTGAGATAATCACTCCAACCTTCACCATCAATTTCCTATTGATACTGAAAGAGGCCACATTCACATGAAATATTACTGGCCCACTAAAAATAAATAGGTTAAATTAGGTTAAGTCCCAAAATGGACAATCAAGTTAAAAATGTGAATCACACAATCAGCATTCTCATTTGCCTGGGGATCTCTGTTACCTGAGTAGCAGCATCAGTGCTTCCAACTTCCTTGTAAGCAGCTATAGATGAGCGATAACCAACTGACTGACCTACAGAATTTCTCATTTCAGTCATACTGGCCCATGTTTTTATACACACACACACACACACACACACACACCCCAACCCCCCCTACTCAGGAAAAAAATTTTAAATATCTTCCCACATTCTAAGAAAAGCAAGGGGATCAAGTTCAGAATCAGAAGTTGTATAAAGTTAGAAAAATCATAAAATATCATGCCATAGACTATTATGGTATTATCAAAAGCCTGAGAAATCCACTTAACTAAAATTAAATGTATTTTTTTACAACGACCTCCTTTCATTATATATTACACTATTTATGAAATATATTGCTACTTTAGTATATATTAAGTATCCCTTTGTTTAAAAATTAATTTCTATTAAGTTTTAGGGTAAATGAGGCCTCTGAAAAATATATTTAAATATAAAATGCAAGAGAGGCATCTTTAACTATTTATTTTAGTAAGCCATCAACAAATTACCTGGTTTTCAACACGATTTAACAGTAGTGGACATATACTACATAGAAGGAACACAAGAATGTAAAGAATGTTTAGGATTGGTTTGTGTGGATGTTATTTTTTTAACCTCAATGTTTTAATATCATGATATACAAATACAAAACATTGTACGAGTCTATGTTGTACTACATGGAGATGGAATAATATATTTGTGTTTTTATCAGAATCTGTATCACCCAATGCTAGCCACTGTACCAAAGGCTTTCCACAGGAATTTTTCTACTCTATGAGGTTTCATCATGAATAAAAAAGCTCACAAATATTTTCAACCACTGCAGATTTATATTTATCTTAAATTCTTGTTCAGCTGCTTTGGAGAACTGCTAAGAAATACAAAATTGCCTTAGCCAAGAGTTCTGAGTGGCTAAGAATTTTATTATTTCTTGTTGGCCAGATCTCCCTTATGTTGGCATTGCAAAGACACTGTGCACTTCTGTGGGGTAAGGAAAAAGGATCTCGATAGCCCTCTTACTGTTTAGGGAGGCAAATTACCATTTCTTGAAAAACACAGAATATTATAATTGTTATTGGCTAAACAGTAATTAATGAAAATCCATTTATATAAGATAAACAACAGCAACAGAGAGCCATAAAGCCCCATATGTGCTAAAGAAAAGTTTGGAAATATTTCAACTGTTTTTCCACCTCTACATTGGTTTAACCAAATCAAGTGAGAGTAACATCAGCCAATAAAGAAAAGTGTCCAGAATTCAGCTTCCATAGCATACCTCAGCCATTTTAGCTAAGACTTTTTTTTTATGAAAAACCAAAAAAGATGAAAGTAGATTTACTTTGTTGGAAATAAAAAAAATGAAAATACTGCTAATTTCATAAAATATTTGAAACTAATTTTGTTTTTATAATAAAGTGTTTATCTTTTTTTTAGTTTTAATTGTCGTTCCTGCTGTTAAAAAAAATAGTCAAAGTCATGTCAACATTTAGGGATAAACTTTGGGGTATTTAAAATAACATGTTTGGAAAACTGAACCACATTTTTAATTGCCAGCATTATGCTTTGTTCTTGGTAGAATCATCTTTGTTTCTTCTTTTTACATCCCAATTGTAAACCCTGGCCATATTGACTTCTGTGGTAATCAAGATTCTTCATAGCAGTCAACAAATTCTTTTCCAACAATGCCTGAGCTTCATCAATACCATATTCAAACATTACATTAGCCTCCAACCACAGACACACTTTATCAGGAGAAACTGAAGCTTTGCAATACGGGTTATCTGCCAGTAAGAATCCGGTCTCCAGTGAACTGGTGGACTTTTTTCCTTCTGCATGTATTTTAGAATTTCTAAAGTCTGCTTAATTTCAGGAATCTGGCCTTTTAGCCTCCTTTTCTTTTGAGCAAGGTTTGAGTTCCATAAACTTTTACTTCTGGTACTATTCATCCAGCTTCTTTAGTACTGTATCTGCAGTCTCATTCCCAGGCTGTTTCATGAAGGAATCTACATCTCTCACGACCTCAGTACCCCCTAGGTGGAGCCGCCACCCATTCCCCGTGGCCACTTCTAAGCCATAACCGTCCTTTGGGGCCGCCATCTTGGGGAAGCGAGCACACGACTTGTGTGGATGTCATAAAGGAAGAAGTCCAATGATCAGACACTGTCAGAATCCAACAAATTTCCTCTTCATTTTAAACGAGAACAGGGTGTGGTTTGTGCTCTTGGGAAGAATTACTTGATATCTACCATAAATCTACACAACTGCAAGTGTACACCTGCATATGTATATAAGTTTTTTATACTCCTTCTCAGTGGCTTTTTTTTTTTTTTCCATTCCAGTCATGCCTGTTAGGGAAAACATGTGTTGCTCACAATGGTGGCATTTGTTCTCTCAGTGGTTTTGTTACCAGCTAGATCCTAAGAGCTGACCTTTACTGCCCACCTGCTTGTACTCACCAACCTTTGTCCCGCATTCTTCCTTAAGCTCTTCTTGCCAGCTTATCTCATAACTCAGGCAAACAGAAATCAAAACTACCCCTCAAGCCATAGCCACTGCCCTGACAAGACCTCCAGCCAGTCCAGATCAGTTTGAGTGCAAACCCGGGCCCTGACTTGCACC